TTTGTCCTGTGCCAGGAGGTACCCAGGCACTTTGTGAGCGCTATCATTTTACCACCCCATCCCCAATTCACCAAGCTGAGGATTAGCCCGGTGTTTCAGATGAGGAAGAGGTTAACTTGTTCAGGGCCACAGAATTAGACAGTGACATAGCTGGCATTCAAATTGGGGACTATCGATTTTAAAGGTGGAAAGAGGATAGAGGACCGGCTACAATGGACTGGGCAGTTAAGGACCTTCCTAGAAGGCCAAGAGCTGCCAAAGCCTTAAAAATAGGAATAGTTAATGTTTACTGGGCACTTTTAACGACTGCCTGGCACTGTACTGCGTACTCCACTTGGATTACGTAGTTGAAGCCTCCCAACAGTACTATGAGGTAGGTACGATACTCCATTGGCAAATGAGAAAACGGAGACGTGGAGCGACTAGCCCAAACGAACACACCGAGCCGCTACCGAACAGGAGAGTCGAAGCCAGGTCTGCAAGGCTCATCGCATCGCCTTAAGTATCCGTAGGCAGACCTGGCTGAACCGAAGCCAAAAAGGACCCACGTTTTACGCGAGAGGCAGGCGGGCCCGGCACAAGCGCGGGACGCGGTGACTCAGTCCCCAGCCAGGCTAAAAGTGGGATAGATTCCAGAACCCCTAGGCCCGGAGAAGCGCATCCTGGATCCGGCTTTTCACGCCGGCGAGGACCCAGAGCTGCCGAAACTCCTCAGACCACTGAGGGAGTGGCTCTTGGCCACCACAGTCCTCAGTTTCCCCAGCGGGTCAATTGGGCGTCGAGGCCCAGCCCTGACTCTCAGCCGGTGCGGACAACCTCCCTCTGTGCCGTTCTCAGAGACGCCCATGGGCTGAAGGGATAGCGGGAGCCGGACCTAGGCCGCCCCTCGAGGCCTGCGGGCCACGCGTGCCCGCCCCTCACCTCCTTTAGGCATCGCGGCTCCGGCGGCTGCGGCGGCGGCGGCGCCTCGAACTGACACCGGAACCGGAAATGCCTTGGGCTCGACTTCTTCCGCCCGGCCCAGTCCCCGCCGCGGCCGCCGCCGCAGTCGCCGCAAGGACCGGGACCTCAGGGAGGCCTCTGTACGGAGCTGGACTGTCTCACGCGCCGCCTTAGTCCAGGCTTGCCCGCGCGCTGCCGGGCAACAGCACCGCCAGTCTCTCCGTTCAGGAAGACGCGTGGCCCTGCTGGCCACCCACTGGAAGTGAGAATGAAGGGCACTAGCGGCACTGGAATTCTATACAGGCATTAGTGAGGGCATCTAAGATGACGCAATCTCTGCGCGGGGTGGGCGGGGCTCCGCGAGGACCCCATGCCGAAGAAGTTACCTGAGGAGCGGAAGCCGTCAATCGAGTAGCGGCGACGCAAGGCGGAGAAGTTTCCGGTAGGTGTTTTTCCTTGGCTCTCGATTACCTTGGCAACAGCTGAGGCGGGAGACAGGTGGTCTGCACCGTCCTGGAGGGTGGTCTGAGTGGCTGGACCGGGATTGTTCGGGCTTTGGACCGGAGTGGGCTACCAAGAGGAGGCGGCGCCCCGTTCCTTCTTCCGAGGGGATGGTAGATTTGGGGGTTTTCTTCTAGGCTTCTCGCGCCGTTTTCTCTGGTAGGAACATCTTCTGTTTTGTTTTTCTAAGCTGAGTTTAGATGCTGTCCTTTTTATGAGCTTTCCCCACAATCCGGCTTTAACACTTCCCTTTCCTCTTCATCGCCTCCTTCCCCGAGCGCCCCAGTCTCTGTTACACCTCCCGGTACATGTTTCTTCGCGATCTGATTACCTCCTACCTTCTCTTTCTCCTTGATCTGGTTACCGCCTACCATTTCCTCCTCCGGGAGGCCTCTTCTGATTCCCAGGCTGTATCAGGGCCCTCGAATTTCTCCTGGGTCATAGAAAAGCAGTTATTCCCTTGTCACAGGCTATGCGCCTTGGGGCCGAGACCAGAATTCACCTGTTTCTAGCTTCAGCGTAGGGGAGACCAGTGCAAAGACCACAGATTTGGGAGTCAGGAGCTCTCCAGAGTCAGACTTTGCAAATTCTCAACTGTGTGACCCTGATTCTACCTCTTAGAGTTAGATTCCTCATGTGTATAGTTTTAGAGAGTTCATGAGAGGAGGCTGTGGCGGGGGTGGTCTTTGCAAACTGTCCGATACCTTACAGAAGGTATCTTCTGTATTGAATTAAAGAGAAATGACTCTTTAAAGAGAAATGACTGAATTAAACAGAAATGAATCTGTTATGCTGAAAAGTAAATAATTAACCTGAGTTCTCTCTGGGAGCAAGGAAACGCTATATGGTTAGAAAAACACTTTGCTATTTGAATTTGGAGCGGCCTCTTTTATGGGCATTACCTGACTTGTCTTTATGTAGTATGTTGTTTGGTGTGAAAGAGACCTTGGCAATCAGCTAATCCACTGCTCTCATATTACAGATGAAACCAAGGACCAAAGAGGGAAAGTGACCTCAAAGTCACAGAATAATTTGTTAGAGCTGGACAAGAATCCAACCCGCAACTGCAGAGACCAGAGATCTTTCACCTATATTCTTGGGAAGCACAGCTTAAGGTACTTTGATTTTACAACCATCTTTCCCTTTTTACTTTATTTTTTGTTTTGTTTTGTTTGTTATTGAGACACAGTCTCTGTCACTGAGGCTGGAGTGTAATAGTGTGAACATGGCTCACAGCAGCCTCAACCACCAGGGCTTAAGTGATTCTCTTGCCTCAGCCTTCCCTGTAGCTCAGACCACAGGCACCTACCTCCATGCTCAGTTTATTGATTTTTTTTTTTTTTTAAAGATGGGGTTTCACCATGTTGGTCAGGCTGGTCTTGAACTCCCAACATCAGGTGATCCGCCCACCTTGGCCTCCAAAGTGCTTGGATTACAGGCGTGAACCACCACGCCCAGCCTTTTTTTTTTTTTTTCCTTGTAAAGACAGGGTCTCACCACATTGCTCAGGCTGGTCTCAAATTCCTGGACTAAAGCGATCTTCCCACCTTGAGAGGTGCTGGCCAAGACCAGAATTACAGGCATGAGCCACCGTGCCTGGCCTTCCATCTTTGCCTTTATAAATACTCACCTCCTGACTCCCGAAGTCACAGCCCTCCTTATACTCTATTGTAATTAGTTTTTTTTCTCTTGTCTGTCTGTCTCCTTGCTAAAATGTCACCTTCTAAGGGGCAGAGGCTGTGTCGTAACTGTTCTGTGTTCCCAACATCCAGTATAGGGCCAAGCTTGTAGTTGATGTTAGCTAATGACAGCAGCAAATGTCTCTTAGGCACACATTATACACGAGGCATGATAACATGCAATTATAATGAACTCTTCACAATGACCACATAAGGTGGCTTCCATTATCCTCATTTTACAGATATAGAAACAGAGACTTAGGAAGGTTAAGTATTTTTCTGAAGGTCACAGGGGCTAAATAGCAGAGCCAGGGTGTGAACAAAGCCAGTACTAAGCCCTGTCCCATAGCTATGACCCTGTGCTGCCTCGAAGAAGTCAACCTGGACCAAACTAATGGCTGGCAAAGGTCTTTGGGGATTCGAGACTCAGAAACTAATTCATTTAAATTTTTCCCCCTCAGATCTTTGCAAATTATCCTGTAGAGGGAAAATGCCTAAAGTCAAAAGAAGCCGAAAAGCACCCCCAGATGGCTGGGAATTGATTGAGCCAACACTAGATGAATTAGATCAAAAGATGAGAGAAGGTGAGTGGGGGAGTTCCTGTGTGGGTGGGCTGGATCCAAGGGTCACAGGCTTAGATGCCTCCAGGGGACAGGCATAAATGCAAATATAAAAAGAGGCTGGTCTACTAACACTGACATGTTGTGTTTGCTTTTGAACTCATGGAAATAATGTAAGTGCCTGAAAATAAGATGATATTAATGAAAAGGTCCTCAAAAAGTTCTTTTGTTTTTGCCAACTTGAACATAAAAGGTTAGGAAGTATAGATCAAATAGTCAAATAGTCTACCTATAGTTATTTCCTATTTTGTTTAGATGTGTATTTATAATCATATGCAGTATATTTACTTGGAAGTGCTATTCCTTTTCAGTTTCATCGATTAGTCTTTGCTTCGTCTGTTTTCTGTCACTTCCCTGTAAATGGCATATGAACCCTCACTTCGTGAATCTGTGTCCTGTGCTGTCTTTGGAAATTTTGTCTGAAGCCACAAGCATCTGTTGGCCTTATATGATCACAGTGTGACCACTTACCAAGTTACCTTTTTTTTTTTAAAAGAGACAGGAATCTTGCCATAGGCTGGAGTGCAATGGCGTGGTCTTGGCTCACTGCAACCTCCACCTCCTGGGTTCAAGTGATTCTCCTGCCTCAGCCTCCCAAATAGCTGGAATTATAGGCATGTGCTACCACGCCCGGCTAATTTTTGTATTTTTAGTAGACATGGAGTTTCTTGATGTTGGCCGGGCTGGTCTCGAACTCCTGGACTCAAGTGATCTGCCCGCCTCAGCCTCCCAAAGTGCTAGGACTAGAGGCACGAGCCATTGCACCCGGCCAGGACCAGCCTTTTAACAGAGAACAGCAGTTACCATTGATTTTTTTTTAGACAATCTCGTTCTGTCACTTAGGCTGGAGTACAGTGGCACAATCTCAGTTTACTGTAACCTCCAACTCCCGGGTTCAACCAGTTCTGCCTCAGTCTCCCAAGTAGCTGGGACTACAGGTGTGCGCCACCATGCCCGGCTAATTTTTTTTGTTTTTTAAGTTTTTGTATCTTTCATAGAGACAGGACAGGGTTTCACCATATTGACTAGGCTGGTCTTGAACTCCTGACATTGTGATCCACTTGCCTCAGCCTCCCAAAGGATTATAGGCATGAGCCACTGCGCCTGGCCCACTGAATGATTTTTTTTTTTTTGTCAGGTTTTTTTTTTTTTTCTTTTTCTTGTTTTTTGTTTTGTTTTCTTTGGCTTGTGCATCCTTGTTGATTTTTTTTTTTTTAATCTGTTTTCTAATTCTGTAATTTAAAAGACTTTTTTTTAATGTCACACTGGTAACGTGCCACTGTTGTTACAAGGTTTGAGACTGGCACGTCTCACACATGGATGTAAACACCCAATCATCACACTCATGGATTACAAAAAGATCCAAAAATATCATTTAAAACAATTATAACAGCTCTATTGAGATATTAATCATATACTATAAAAGTTATCCTGTTAAATTATCCAATTAAGGGGTTTTTAGTGTATTCACAAAGTTGTAGGACCACTGCCATAGTCAATTTTACGTTTCAAGGTTCATCTTTGTTATAGAAGATATCAGTACTTACTTCATTCCACCTGAGTTTTTTTTTTCTTGTTTTTTGTTTTTGTTTTTTGAGACAGAGTTTTGCTCTTGTTACCCAGGCTGGAGTGCAATGTCGTGATCTCGGCCCACCGCAACCTCCACCTCCTGGGTTCAGGCAATTCTCCTGCCTCAGCCTCCTGAGTAGCTGGGATTACAGGCACACACCACCATGCCCAGCTAATTTTTTTTTGTATTTTTAGTAGAGACGGGGTTTCACCATGTTGACCAGGATGGTCTCCATCCCTTGACCTCATGATCCACCTGCCTTGGCCTCCCAAAATGCTGGGATTACAGGCGTGAGCCACTGTGCCTGACCCTGTTTTTTTTTTTTTTTTTTTTTTTTTTTTTCTTTTTTTATTTATTTTTTTTTTTGGAGACAGAGTCGTGCTTTGTTGCCCAGGCTGGAGGGCAGTGGTGCGATCTCGGCACACTGCAACCTCCACCTCTGGGTTCAAATGATTCTACCACCTTAGCCTCCCACATAGGTGAGATTACAGGCATGCACCACCATGCCTTGCTAATTCTTTTGTATTTCTAGTAGAGACGGGGTTTCACCGTGTTGACCAGGCTGGTCTCGAACTCCTGACCTGAAGTGATTCGCCCACCTCAGCCTCCCAAAGTGCTGGGATTACAGGTGTGAGCCACCATGCCTGGCCCTTCGTTCCTTTTTATGGCTGAACAATATTCTGTTATAAGGATAGACCACATTTTTGTTCCGCTGTTCATAAATTCATGAACATTTGGGTTCTTTCTACTTTTTAGCTCTAGGAACCTTCATGTACCAGTTTGTGTGTGCACATGTTTTTAGTTCTCTTTGGTATATATCTAGGAGTGGAATTGCTGCTGGATAATGTGGTAATTATGTTTAACTTCTTTTTACTGACAGAGCCTCTCTCTGTCACCTAGGCTAGAGTGCAGTGTCATGATCTCGATCTCAGCTCACTGCCACCTCCACCTCCTGGGTTCAGGCAATTCTCCTGCCTCAGTCTCTTGAGTGTCTGGGATTACTTAGAGACCCCACCACCACATCTGGCTAATTTTTGTATTTTTAGTAGAGACAGGGTTTCACCATGTTGACCAGGCTGGTCTTGAACTCCTGACCTCAGATGATCTGCCCACCTCAGCCTCTCAAAGTGTTGAGATTACAGGCATGAGCCACCCCTGTTTAACTTCTTTTTTTTTTTTTTTTTTGAGACAGAGTTTCTCTCTGTTGCCCAGGCTGAAGTTCAATGGCCCGATATTGGCTCACTGCAACCTCTGCCTCACGGGTTCAAATAATTCTCTTGCCTCAGCCTCCCGAGTAGCTAGGATTAGAGGCGTGAGCCACCACACCCAGCCTGTTTAACTTTGTGAGGAGCTACTTAACTGTTTTCTGCAGTGGCTACACCATTTTACATTCCCACCAGAAATGTTTGAAGGTTCCAGTTTCTCCACATCCTTGCCAACCCTTGTTACTGTGCCATAATTTTGATTGTAGCCATCCTAGTGAGTGTGAAGTGGTATTTATTCATTAGCACTAGTTATTTACAAAACGAAAATCCTGTGCAGACCAACCTGTTCCCCTAAACACATACTTTGTTTCTCCCCAGCTGAAACAGAACCTCATGAGGGAAAGAGAAAAGTGGAATCTCTGTGGCCCATCTTCAGGATCCACCACCAGAAAACCCGATATATCTTTGACCTCTTTTACAAGCGGAAAGCCATCAGCAGAGGTAATTAGTCAATTCTGTTTTGGCCTTTCAAATTTGACTCCTTTGGAGTTACTGAAGTAACCACAATCCTTATTCTTACAACCTGTGTGAGTCATGATTTTTCTTCCTACTAAAAATTTGGGCAAGTCAATCTTGGCTGGATTTTTTTGGTTTTGGTTTTGTTTTTTTTGTTGTTATGATACAGACTCTCACTCTGTCACCCAGGCTGAAGAGCAGAGGCACGATCTCAGCTCACTGCAACCTCTGCCTCCCGGGTTCAAGCAATTTTCCTGTCTCAGCCTCCCAAGTAGCTGGGATTGCAGGTACATGCCACCACACCCAGCTAATTTTTTTTTTTTCTTTTTTGAGAAGGAGTCTGTCTCTGTCGCTCCCAAGTAGCTGGGATTACAGGCATGCGCCACCACACCCAGCTAATTTCTGTATTTTTAGTAGAAACGGGGTTTCACCATGTTGGCTAGGATGGTCTCGATCTCTTGACCTCGTGATCCACCCGCCTCAGCCTTCCAAAGTGTTGGGATTACAGGTGTGAGCCACTGTGCCTGGCCTTGTATTTTTAGTAGAGACAGCCTTTTGCCATGTTGGCCAGGCTGGCCTGGAACTCCTGACCTCAGGTGATCCGCCCACCACAGCCTCCAAAGTGCTGGGATTACAGGAGTGAGCCACTGCACCTGGTGAATGCTTTTTGATCCTGGGGTGGGAAGGTTTGTTAGACCGTGGCCTGAAGCTCTTTCCCCATCTTTTTTGACAGAACTTTATGAGTATTGTATTAAAGAAGGCTATGCAGACAAAAACCTGATCGCAAAATGGAAGAAGCAAGGATATGAGAACTTGTGCTGCCTGCGGTGCATTCAGACACGGGACACCAACTTTGGCACGAATTGCATCTGCCGTGTACCCAAAAGCAAGCTGGAAGTGGTAATGTCTGATGCTCACGCTTGATGTTATTTTCAGCTCAAAATTCTGCCCTAGTCAGCTCTAAGGGATCTTACGTTATTTGGTTGGACTGGAATGTCATTTTGTTCCTGGATGTTCTGCTGGCTTTCCCTCCCAGGAGTGGGTCCCTCTGTTCAGGAAATCTGTGAGAGGCAGTGTGTGGCCGTGACTGTGTTTGTAGGTCTGGGGCCAATCTCAACTCCACTTTTGGGCAAATTACTGAACCCCTTTCCTCACTTAGGAAAATGGTGGTAAGGAGCCCTACTCCTGAGGTCGCGGCAGGGTGACATCAGGGAGGGGTGGCCACTCAGTGGGAGTTCCTGTCCCTTTGCCTCAGTCCTCACAGCGATACTTTCATGTTACCATCACTCCATCACTGTCTTTTTTTTTTTTAACCCCTGAGATGGAATCTTGCTCTGTCACCCAGGCTGGAACGCAGTGGCGTGATCTTGGCTCACTACAACCTCCGCCTCCCGTGTTCAAGCAATTCTCCTGCCTCAGCCTCCCTAGTAGCTCTGGGATTACAGGTGTGCATCACCACACCTAGCGAATTTTTGTATTTTTAGTAGAGACGGGGTTTTACTATATGGGTTGGGCTGGTCTCCAACTCCTGACCTCATGATCTGCCCACCTTAGCCTCCCAAAGTGCTGGGATTACAGGCATCAGCTATTGGGGGGCTCTGGGCAGAAGGGTGTGACTCAAGTGCATAGGCTTCTGCCCTTTCCCTCACCAGTGTGTCCCAGCACACTTCACCCTGAAGTCCCCAAGCAGTAGCAGAGCCACCTCTGCTCATGCAGGGTCTGCCACATTCACTTAGCAGAATAACGAGACTCATTTACACCGATTGCTTTTTCTTGACTGGCAAATGTGTATTGGATTTGCATAATGTATTACCAGTTCACATACAGATGTAACCTCAGTGTCAACAGTAGCTGTTTCCACCTTCATGAGGGAGCCAAATTTCCCCTGTCCAGAGCTGTCAGGAAGGGTTTCTGAGGTTTGTCCCTATACAGCCTGTTGGCAGGTTCTCCGTGGGGGGGTTGGTGCGAGCACACAGGGGCGAGCGTGGCGCCCAGGCATTGTCTCACTGTCCTCTGTTGCAGGGCCGCATCATCGAGTGCACACACTGCGGCTGCCGTGGCTGCTCTGGCTGAGGCTGGCGCTCTCCACCCTGGACTCTGGACTTCACAGGTTCCTGCCTGTGGCACCACCCGCTTCCTGGGAGCAGCGAGCAGTGCCCCAGGCCCGAGTTGGAGCACGGTCTCTACAGGGAAGACTTTACTGTCCATCAGATGTGATTTGTAAAAATAAAACCTTTAAACCTCTCGGCCCCAAGTCTGTTCTTTCAGAGCATTGGCCTGGGGGCAGCACCAGGCCCCAGGGACCAGATGCTCCAGCTCCGTGCTGGCCCCCTTGTGGTGTGCGAGGTGACACATGAAGGCGGCTGCAACTGCCATGGACCTGCCGGCTGGGAGTGTAGGCACCTTGGACCCAGCGTGTGTTCTCACACCATCTATGACACACTATATAGCTGTTCTTAAGGGCCTGGCTCATCCCCTAGGCGGGAGGTGACACCAGCTCACTTGTCTTGGGGCTCCCACAGAGCACTGGGGGCCAAGCACATTGTTCCAGCCATGCCCCCATCACTTGCCCCCAAGGCCTCTGTCCACAACAGCCTCCCTGCTGGTGTCCTGGTCCTCCCGGGGCTTGGTCCGAAACTTCTGCCAAGGGTGCGGGGTTTCCTCTGCGGGCATCACTTTCAGCCACTGCTTGTAATAGGCTCGGAAGCCGTCAATCTTCTCCAGGTAGGTGTTCTTCCCTTTGTACTGGAATTAGAAAAGTGAGGCTAGAATCACCGCCTGTTACCTACAGCTAATCCCAAACCTCAGAAGCTGGCTCAGGCCTGAAGGAAGCTGGTCGCTGCCATTTTCCCTTCCAGGTGGCTGCAGGGAACAGAGCAGAAAAGCTGTGAACATGCACTATGGAAGTAGCTTACTGCAGAGAAACAGGTCCCAGCTGGGTACCCCAGGGCAGGCCCAGACTCCCATCTGCCTGACAGCGTTCTCCCAAATATGCACCACTGTGTTCCTCCATCCATACTTGCACCCCAGGCCCCGAGGTCCCACCAGCTCTGCCTCTACAGCCTGCTGAG